GGGGAGCCGGCTGAACCTGCTCTTTGCACAGGTGGATTACCACAGGGGTGCTGTATTTATGGAGGAAACACAGAAGCTCTGTCTGTCCAAATTCTTGTGGCATTTCAGTAAACGTTAGGGGCCTCCCCCCCGTTCATTAAATACCAATTAACAAGTGTGGTCCGTCAGTGGAAAGGTGTGTGTGCAGAGAGTGACAGTTCCTCAGAGAACTGTCCAGATAACACTCTCTGAGAAGAGTTAAAGTTTACAGAGGCTTTTAATAGTACTTTGGATTCTATGTCCTTTAAATGGGTAAAAATAATGGGCTTTTTTGCAAGAGAGAAAATTTGAGTAGGGAATTAAGTAGGCTTTCTTCTGTATGCCGTACAAGTAGAGAGATTACCTGGTGGTTGTCTTCATTGCATTTTTGCAAGATTGTGAATTTTAGTTCAAAATAAAAGATATACATGAATTTTGTCTTCAAATTTTACTAGTCCAGAGTCCAGTGTTTTAGTATGCTTTCAGACACATACCATGCAGATAAGTATTGCAGTCTCAGTGTTTTTTGCCTGAAGTTTTCATTTACAAAGAATTAAATTTTGCCCACTCTTAGCAAATGCTGTTGAAGTCAGACAAGAGTGAGTTGTCTCAGTTGCTGCTGTCTACAGGCACTGATTTTCCATCCCAGGGCGAAGCCTTGTGTCACTGCTCCCTAGCACTTGTGTGGGTGTGACAAGTTTCATAAACCTGCATTCTTAAACTGCTGCYGTGCAACGTACAGCTTCAGGATCAGCAGAACATAGAGATGCAGAAACAGAAAAGCCCCACGGGCTTGTTCTACTGACAAAGTTTACTTTATTTAAAACAGAAAAGCCATGGGTCATTTATATTGTTGTGTGTTTTGAATTCATCATCTGGTGTTTATCAAAAAGCAAACCTGACTCGTTTTGGTGTGTTTGTTCTCTGTTCCTCAGGCTGCCTTCCAGGAGAATGTTGGGAGACAGGTATGGTGACTTCCCTGCATCTTCATTCGTGCCTCAGAGGTTACTATAAGCATGGAGTGCCCAAAATCAAAATTAGACACCGTGGCTTTGGAAAAATTGAGTAAAGGGATGTCGCAAAATAATTGTTTTCATTGTGAGCAGCAAGTTCTTATAGAATATTTTTGTGAGGTGTGAGTTTTATTTTAGTATTCCAGTTTGGGAAGAAAATGGGTTTACTGGTAATTTTCAGTCCTCCCGAAAAGAAAAATCAGCATGTAAGCTGGCCATTGTAAACCCTAGAAACTTACAGTGCTTTTAAAGCAAGAAATGTGCAGCTTTTTGGTTTTTTTTTTTTTTTGTTTGTTTGTTTGTTTTTTAAATTGACTTTCTAGTTTTCRATAGAAGCAGAACAACTGATTGTTGTGCAATCATTGCTGTAGCTGGTGGTAGCACAGTGAACAAGGCTTAACAATCTTCCACTCAATTTTTTGCGCTTGTCTATTGTACTATCTAGATATTTTGGGAAATCTGGTACTTTTKGAGGTACCCAAGTCCTTTGGTAAAATGTACTGTGGTAGGTTCCTGTGTAACTTAGCAATATTTAAGTAGTTACAATGCTCGAGACCAGTTTGATTTGCAAACTTAGAGGAGAAGCAAATAGGGTAAAGCCTTGGATTTACTGATTGCTCACCAGGAATTAATAAAGCTGAATKTACAACTAAGAGAGAAAGTGTGGGAGGAATGGTTCAGTTAGTGTATTCCTGTGACTGAGCAGGGCATGTGGGCATGCTTAAAGCAATTTTGTTATCAATAAGCYGCTCTTCAAGGRATCTTTTAAAATGCTGTCCCCTGAYTSCATTCCTGAAGACCTCTGTGTTCTGAGCAAGAATATTATTCCTTCAGAGCTCTGGCTATTAAGCAACCTGTTGATATCCAGTGTGTATTTCCAGACAGAAAGAAATAGGTTAATAGCAGGGAAAGGGTGCAAGAAGACTAGGAGGAAAAGGGTAGGGATTTTTGGTGACCTGACCCAGCTCGGTCTGTCATAAACAGATGCCAGGGGAACTCTTCCCTGGGTCTGCAGTTCCTGCCTTGGAGAGGTTGAGCATCACACAGCAGCTCAGCCTGATTCTACTGCATGAGGTGCTAAATGAAGTAAATAATACCTTACCCTGACTTAGCTCCAGGTGAGGGAGGGCTCCTGGGTGCTGCAGGTTTGGTTTTGCTTCCATGTAGCAAAAATTTAATGGGTTTTTTTAAAAATTTCTTAATCAGAGGAATAGAGTCCATGTTAGTTTACAACCAGAAAGGTTCTTTATGGGCTCTACTTGACCCACAACTCAAATGTGTCAGTAGAATGCATGATGATTTCAGCCTCTGTGTTGGCACATCAGCAGTGAAACAGTGAATTTCCACAGCATGGAGTAGCAGTCAGGCTCCAGTTGGTTCCTGCAGAAGGTCAGAAGTTTTACTTGCTGAACCATTCCTTGGTGCCTAGGAAAATGGTTACTTAATGAGTGGATCCACCCTCTGCAGTTTGCTCCCTGGATGTTGTGTGTCGAAGGAGACACCCTTTCTCTGAATTGGAAGGAGCTAAAATAAATTCTCCACCTAAGGTAATAATGCCGATACAAAATAGGAGGAGAAAAAGGTTGCCCTCACTTGTTGCCTGGTTCCTACCTGCTTCAGCTTTGCAATTCCACATGTTCCAAATCCAGAGCTTGTTTATGGCCAAAGAATGCCACTTACACTGTGTGTAGATGGAAGCTTTGAAAAATCTGAAGGTTTTTTTTAAGCATAAATCATGAGAAATGCACATACTTCTAATACTACCAACTTCTCTATTGGAGAAGTTTGAAGTATTCAGAGGGAATAGAAGCTGTTCCTGTGAACAGGTTCCTGTGAAGCCTGGCTGACCCACTGGCCATGACCTCTGTGCTCCTGAACTCAGGAATGCTGCTGTCTCACCAACAGGCTTGGTAGCACCATGACCTTTGTGAGATGGCATCGASCTGCCACACTCACAGCTGGGGAACAAATAGCAAGGTCCAGCTGGCAGCTAGAATTCAGATTGTTTGGCTGAGATTTTCCTTATGTAGTGTCCAGCTTTATATGTTCCATTGTGTGTCTTGCTGTTTGGTCTTAAATCACACAGATTTTTGTCCCAAGCAGTGTTTCATGAGGTTTTTGGACAGAGCATTCATTTTAACTTTGAGTTACCAGGGCTTGCARGTCATCCCTTGGATGAACCATAAAAACCTCCATCTCTCCTTGGTTCATTAAGGTTCCAGGCCTTGTTTTTTTGGAGCACTGGAATTATGCTTCCCAGAGCAAGACCTCAGCAGCAGCTGGCAGCTCCCACTGCTTCCAGGATAAACTGCTTTAGTGATTCAGGCTCAGATGGAGAGATACTTCCCACTAGTTTTGCATGGCTGGATCCTAATGTGGAAGGGATGAKTGAGCTGTAAACAAACAGACCTGCATCACATCCCAAACCTGTACTTCCAGGGAGCCTCGTTGTTTTAATACCCTCTGAGTGTCCCTTTTGGAAGTGAGTGCAGTGTCTGTCAGCTGGCACTTTTCCATTTGTTCTTCATGTTTGGCTCATGGATGYTGTGCTGTCTCTGCTGTTCCAAAGCAGCTAAACCAGCCAGAGCCAATCAAATTCTGAATATCTGAATTGTATTGCTTACATAGAGAAATGCAAATTTCTAAGTAGAAATGTCATCTTTAGCAAGGTAATTATTCTTCTAGAAACAAACTGATTTGAGCATTGGTGGCAGAAGTGGGATCCTTCAGTAGGATTCAGTGTTTCAGGCTTTGTTGGGAAACCAGTGTTTGTTTTAAAAACAAACCAACCCAATTTTTTAGTTCATTAATGAGTCATAGAATACATGCATAAGTAGAAACTCCCATGTRTTCTATACACGATGCATCTCTTACTGCCTAAATCTCTAATTTTTTATTTCATTAAACTCACCTTCTGCCTTCGCATAAACTGKAAACTTGTTTATGTTTATCTAAACCTCCTTCTGGAGGAATCATWTTTTTGGTACATACATAGTCATGCATTCACCAAATATGTATTTTGGTATGGCTGGGAGGTGTGAAGGGAGCTGTTGCATAGGTTACTCCTGCTGCTATTTACTTGGGCTGTTTGTCATTGACTCACAAGCAAAGTGAGGTATTTTRCTGTTTGTATATTCAACATCCTTTATGTCTCTAGTACAAGTGATTTTACTATAAATTAAATTGTATTTTTTCAGTGCTTGAGAGGGTAGCAGATTTGTTTTCAATCATGTTGCCTKTTTGAAATATATTTTACATTTAAAAATAATACTTTGTTTGTAGGGCACTTTTCCCCATGGCATCGACATTCTCACTGCAGCTGATTATTTTGCTGTTGGTAACAGAGTTAACTGTTACTTGACCATAAGGTAAGTTTTCCAATCATTAATTTTCCTAAACATGAGGAGTCTCTTGTACATAATGAAATACTTGTCTAATTGTCTCCCCTTACTGAACATTGTTTAATACTGATGGTTTTGAGTAAATCAAAACTGTGTTTTTATTTTTGCACCAAACCAATTGTCATATATGAGGCAGAGTGAAAATGTGCCCATGATGTCCTTAACTATGAGGAGGAAGAGACCAAAGTCCAGGTTTGCAGATGTCAAACTGTCTAAGCTGGTCAAGGCAGGACAGGATGAAGAGATTTACAGAGTTGGTAGTCAAAAGAGAGGCTGTTATGATGGCAGATAGACTCTGACGTGGGTAAAAAAATCAAGTCATACCCATTCAAAAGAAATAGTTTGCCCAAGTTGTTGAATTTGTGGTGTGTACTAGAGCTTTAACTCGAGTGCTTTTGCTTTGCATAGTCAGCTCAGTGAAACCTGACCACACTGTGCAGTAATGTTTGAAAAAACAAACTGATCACTGCAGTACAGTCTGCAAAGAGTGAATGGGAAATAGCCAGACTGGGTGGTGTGATTATAAACTAGGGGCTTGTCCTGGAATACAGGGTCAGCTCTGCAAACAGAGAGGTGCTGAAGACAGGGAAGTTTGAAGCTGAGCAGGGGTCACTGGATGGCCYAAAGGATCAGAATGTTGCACTTCCTGGAGAGGAAATGCAAAGAGGAAGGGCTGGTTCTGGCATGAGCTGTCCCAGACAGAGTCTGGCCTCGAGTCCAGCCTCCATCCAGAGCCAAGACAGACCAGCAGCCRTGGAGGGTGATTCAGACCCTTTTGAGACAGGGCAGGAAATTGCCCTGGGGGGCTGCTCAGAAGCCCAGCAGGTCAGAAAGGCTTGAGAGGTGGTGTCCTTGGGGAGCAGTAACAGCAAACAGGTACATGATGGTTCATGCTCCACTGCCAACTTTGTGACTTCCACTGTGAAATTTTTAAGGTGATTTGTACAGGAATCCTCTGTCTTCGCCTTAACTATTTTTTGATTAATCTGTCCACCTCCATATTACCCTTTTTTGTGCAGAATCATTTCAGTCTGCACATACCTTCACCTTTCACCAACTGTCAGTTCTGCTGAGGTCCCCACTCTCCTCCTACAGCCTTCCCAGAGCTCCCACCTATGGCAGATGGGGAAATGCAGGAGCTTGGCATTTCCATGCTGCTCTAGATCTCTATGGCATCCATGTAATTTTTGAAACTCTGGGTTTTTTTTGTACTAACAGAAAATTGAAAACATGCAAAAGTGACAAAGTAGGTTTTATTTTCTCTGTTCTATGATTCTGGCTTGGAGACTGATTATGTTCTTCTGACTTTTCAAGAACTGAATTGGTAATTTGATTTTTTCTAAAATGCACCTTTATTACTTCTTTCACTGTGATTCCCAGGGTTTTTGTAGGAGTGCTACTTACTCAGTGAAAATATTTTTATTGTAAATTTCTTTCTTTAAACTGTTCAACAGGAGGAATAAATTTGTAAATCTTTTATAAACAGYTGTATGCACTTAGAATCATGATTCTCTGAAACTGTGTTCAGTRTTATTAATCAAACTTTTGTAAAATATTTGCCATCTCACAAATTCTATTACTTTTAAAAAATAACACTGCTCTTCAAGCAGGCTGYCATTATTTGGGTCAATACTTAAGTTGCTTGGCTATTTCCTCATTTTTCGCTGAATAACATCAAAGAAAAAGGCACCCACGCATATATTTGGCCACTTAGAAAAAACATGTATCATGATAATGTGGTAGCAAGAACTGCTTGGTGTGCCTTGAGGTGCTGTATTGGTCTGTGGAGCTGGAAAAAGCTGCTTGAGGTTTGTATTCCAGATCTGGAAAAAGCTGCTTGAGGTTCATATTTCAGATCTTCAGCTGTCCTGCCCCCAGCCAGGTGAACAATCCCAGGACACTCTGCCAGTGCAGAGCTGTGTGAGCAGGAGGAGGGTCTGTGCTGGGAGGCTCCTTTGAGCAATAAGAGCAAAAAAAAAATGAAAGTATCAATTTCTACAGCTGAATTAGGTTCATAAATGATGATCTGTTCCTGTAGAGAGGCATTATCATGTGTATTTACACATATTTGTATGTGTGTATAAGTAGTTGTTTAGAGGCTTTAAAATCTAAATATTTTAATCCCCTTTTTTTTTTTTTTCACTGGGTGCCATTTTTTTGATGGTCTTTGGAGGATTCAGCTCAAATATGATAATATATTTGTAAGAATGGAAAGTAGAGGAAATCTATTATGTATGAACTGTCAGTAAAGAGATTATGTGATTCCAGGAGTTCTGAGCTTGGTATAAGCAGCGTTTAAGAAAAAGATTCTTAACCAAAGTAGAGTGGGGTACAAAAATCTAACCAGCACCATCACCAGGAAGTACAGAGCAGTATGCAAGGCTGCATGCATTAAATACTCAGTAGGGTACAAAAGATGAGGACTGTAGTTAAAAATAGTTATAAACTAAAATTAAAGGGATTTAGCTACACCTGTGACCCAAGAAATTGATTTTTAGCTGGGCATGGAAATTCAAGTTGAAATGGTTGGCAAGAAAGGTGGGTGCGAAAACTAGGACTCAAAAAAGCAATTACAAAGAATGGAGGAGAGCGCAAACATGACAGGGGAAGTGTGTCTGTTATATTCTCTTCCTCCAGAACAGGGAAAGGACCTAGAGAGACATGAATGTTATTTTTTCTCTGATGGCACCCATAGGAAGTTGAACCAAGTGTCAAATCCTCTCTGGGGCTCAGTAGGTTCACCCCAACCCTCAGTAGGGGCTCAGTGACCGAGCCCTGGGCTGTGGATTTAAGGATTCCCACTCTGATGAATTCCATAGATATCACTATGGGAATGTGTAGCAATATTTGGGTGTTCTCTTTGTTTTGGTTCTGGCTGAACACAGGTGTATTAATGGAACATTCTTATAGCTGCAAAGTTAATGACTCAAAAGATATGAAAAGGTGAAATTAAGGTAATACATGTGTCCCTTTGTGACCTTTTGACACAAATGGTCCTGTTAATTGTTGGGCTTCCCAAGGTGATTTAACACTCATCAGATGTACTGAAAAAACATTTCACTTCACTTGTGTTGACCTTGGCTTTCTGTAGTTGATGCTTCTGAAGATTGGAAGGCAAGTGGAGCTGGGAGGTAACTGCAGGTTCCTTAGGTAATTAATGCTGGTGTTCCCTTCCATCTCACGCCTGAACTTTACAGATTTAACAGCTTTTGTCACAATTAATATGTTTGATTTCTAAAAAGGACAAATTGAAAATCCATTTTCCATTTTGGACCATTGTATTTATGAAGATGTAGCACATTTCTGTGCACTTAATTTTCCTCTGTCTTGTAGTTGATATCACTGATGTGTTTTTCCAGATTGAAATAATTATTCAAGTTAATATACACATATAGATGTTCTGGAATGTAACAATGGGATTGAATGTCAAGTTTGTTGTATGTGTAGGAGGTTTTATAAACAATCTGAAATTTTTACAGAAGTGATTTTAAAGTTCTTTCGGTCATTGAAAATACTTCCCGTTCTGTCATTCAGCTGCATCTCCTTTGGAGAAGGCACATCTAAGTAATTTTTTGGTTGCTTTGAAACMAGAGGATTTAGATGTTTGGAGCAGGTTGTGGTAAAATACACACAGATATTGATTCTGTACTCTCTGGAATATATTTCCATATCTGTATCTGGGCTTGTTTTYTTTCAGTGTATATATTGCTGGCTTTCCTGAGTATACACAGCCAATGATTGATCATTTAGTTAAYATGAAGATTAACCACTGGGATGGGTAAGTTCATCAAATCTACTTRTTAATATCCAAGAATTGACTCTTCAGCATATTGCACCTTCATGCATTATTTTTGTGAATTTTACTTTCAYGTGGGTTTGCAGTAGCATTTGACTGAAGGAAACTGGGCAAGTAGTAGGTGACATCATTTGTACCTCCCAAGCAGATTGTCACTTACACAGGCTTATGAATTTTGTCTTTTGGCCATGACCTCAATCTGTTAATAGATTAATAAAACCCATTTATATGGTATATAGTGTATGTGAGAGGTAAACACTGTCACCATACAATTACCCTAATTAAAGCAGATTTCATGCATAGAGATGGTGCTTAGTCACATTCAGTGCTCATGAAGATGGAAACGTGTATGTGTCACACAAGTGAGATTGTATCAGGGCTGATTATGGTTTGCATCATGAGAAATCATCAGTTTGCTGCACTGTCCCTGCCAGTGCACAGAAYGAGCCCTCGGGTGTCACCAGCCCCACTGGTGTTTTTCCTTGTCTCTTGGAGCAGCAAGCTCTTTTCACTTCACTGAAAGCTGGCTGCAGGCTGGCTGCATGGGTGCCCTTTGGTTTTATTGGCTTTTTTTTACAGGGGGGAAGCAGAGGATGGACAGAGAATATTGTAATTTTGAATATTGCTGGGGTTTTGGTTGGGGACATGAGTCCCTCATGTTAATTTTTTAATGCATTGCTTCTACTCAACTGCTAACCCTCAAAAATGCTTTCTTACATCTGCAGTGTTATTCGAGAACTTTCAACCAAAGCTCTGCATAACATCACTCCCCGAGCCCCTGAGTACATGGCCAAYGTGGGTAGGTACCAGCTGAGCTCTGCTCAGCCAGGCTGAGCTTAACACAACAAATCTACAGAGACCTAAACATGCACCACAGCTTAATAAAAATTAAGACTTCTCCTGCAACTTACCACAGTGTAGTGACATTGATGGCTTTATCTGTTTTCAGATTTTATGAAAAATTATACATTGCTGTCAGGTAGGTTCTGAGCTGTGGGCTTTGGTTACCTGGCTGCACTGGACTCTGCTGATTCCTGGGTGAATAAATGGGTGCAGTTGTGTGGGAACAGCTCCAGCAGCTGCCCATCAAATTTTAGGTCTCGCTCTATCGAGAGTTCTTTGATACTGTGAAGGATGGGGGATCGTTTTGTCTTGTCCACTCTGAGAATTCCTTTCTGTSTGTGTGTGTAATCAGATGTTTCTTAGCATGAGCCCAGTTCCTTTGCTCAGCCCATTGCAGATCCTGAGCAGGTACTGGCAGCTTGTTTGAGTGGCTGAAAGCAGTGCCCACCCCTAGGAGAATCTGCAGGGACAGACCTTGCCTGGGCTCCTGTTGTGGTCCAGGAATGTGGCACTTACCATGGAAATAAGATTCTATGGCAAGAGAAGCCTCACTTCTCTGACTGCTCAGCCAGCTCAGTGCCCAATAGCAATGTTCTTTTATTTACTCCAGCTAGGGAGGTAACTRGGAGTACAAAATTGCTCAGTGTGGTTTGTCAGAATTTACTTCATTAAGATTTGTTTTTCATGAAGTCACCAGGGTATTTGACTTTACAGAAATGCTTTTCCACTGTTGTTTCTAGGCAGACAAAATTACATTTAAAATGATGATCTGTCACTATGCTTTGTTTAAAAAAAATTAATTATTTAATTTCTTTCAGTTTTGCCAAGACTTCTGCCTTTATCAGTGGGCTCAGATCTGCACACACGCCATGGGGCAATCCTTGCCTGTGCTGAGATCACCCATGCTCTGTGTAAACTGGCACAAGAGAATAATAGGTATTAATGCAAGATTATCTTGACTATAAATTTTCCTTTAATGTCGGGTCTATTAAAAGCTTCCTGAGTATAATTATGGAAATCTCCATCTCACTGAACTGTGTTTCCATTGAATTTTTGCTTGTTTTTATGAGTGATGCTGAGCTTTCACATTTTATCCAATGATTTTATCCAATGATTTAAATTCATTTGCTGCCTTACTTGGGGARTTGAAAGTGATCACTTAAGTATAGWTTAATTCCCCTTTCCCCAKAAGTGTGCTGTCTTCCTGGGYAGGGACAGTCTTKTGTCTTCAGGGTTGGAGAAAAACCTCSTGAGGCAGCTCATTGAGTGAGACTGATTCAATGCTACTGAATGCTGCTCCAGGTGAATATATCTATCTATATATTTACACACACATTTGCCGGCAGTGTCCATCAAAAAAATTTGTGTTCAAGAAAAAGAGACAGATCATTTTTAGTAGTAGGAAGTACTTGAAATAAATGAAAAAATTACAGAAGTGTTGGAGTCCAAAAATACAACTGAGCTGAGAAGGTTTGTCCGTGTGTTGGCAATTATAATGTTATTAGGAAGTGGCACTGATTTTTTTTTATAGTCCTCCTGGAATAATTTTCTATATGATAAGGAAAGAACTTCTGTTGTTACGTTTGCTGAACTATTTAAAATTAAATATTGCATATTTCTGTGGAGCATAATTTGAAAATCAAATGATKGGTTTTCTGTTTGAAAGTACAATGATGTTATGGAAGAAAAATTATTTACAACATGATTAGGAAACCTGTATTAAAATTKTTGTATGCTTTTACAGATCTGTAACACACTATTTCAATGAACAATCGTTGGAGGGACTCAAGCAAATTCACCAAGAGGTTTGTAGCCAGCATAAATCTCTTTTAACCTGGAATGCTGTATRGTTTTTAAACAGAAATTTACAATTAAGGCAGCTGCTCTCCACCTTCCTCAACCCCTTGCCAGAAGCAAACCATGTCACAAATGGGAGTTTGAACACACCCCCCAGACTGTGTGAAAGCTGGATGTCCTGGACCCTGYRTCTTACRCAGTGACTCTGAGATCTGTTCTACYTCTTRCTGAACCCCCAGCTCTGATGCTGGAAATCACATTTCTGAAATGCCTCAGGGCATTTGGTTCCTTTTCCATCTGTCTGTGCTCCCCCTTCATCCCACTGACTGGCCTTGGGGTGCCTGTGCTCCAGGTACACCTAGTGAACCCATTCCTTGTCCCTGCACCCATAATTTCCTGTTTGTATACCTCTAAAGTCATATTCTGCATTGCAATGGATACGTTGTGTGTATCTCTCCTGGTGCTAAATGAAACCTTATCCTGCAYGGAGCAGTTCCAAATGCTTCTGTGGAGATAACTTCCATTTTCAGTATCCCATGATGTTGGTTTTTTTCTTTCATTGTTTTTTTTTCCCTTCCTACCATGGAACAGACAGTGCACTGACCCTGAGGCTCCTGCTCATTTCTGCAGGGTCTGTGGTACCTTTAGTGCCAGCTCTGATGTGCTCTGGGGCTTCACCATTCACCCCCTGAAGTCCACAGGTGCCTGTTTAATTCTGGGCACAGGTCAGAGCTGCTGCCACAGGTTGAAAAAACCTTTGTCCTTCTTAAAGTTCTCGTGATGAAATGTCTGAAAGCTTGGTCAACACATCTCTGCTGTTACAGTGGCCTTAAGTTGTTATGGTACAGTTTCTGTTGTTATTCATAATTAATCTGCAAAATTGCCATAAGCTTTCAGTTTTAAATCATCTGAACTTTTTGGCTTTTATTATATAGAAATGTGGTAATTTCTGATTTTTTTTAGGATGGCTTGCTGTAACATTAAGAATGAAGTAAGATGTTTCAGTCATGTTTGAAGCTTTAAGTTTTTTCCCTGTTCCATCTGTAGCTACCAAAGTTATTTTCAGTGATCAGACAATGCAATCTGTCATCATTCTGAAAGGGGTAATGGTAGAAAGCAAATCTATTTTAAAAAGCCCAACTTGCTTCCAGGGTATTTGCAGGAGCAACTTGARTTTGGAATTTAGGAAATCAGTGCTTTATGAATATGTTATATTGACTTTTTTGAAAATAAAGTTCTAAAGGGTATAGAGAAGTTGTTTTAAGGAGGTTTTTCCAYTGAATTTTATTTTTAAAATTAACTAAAGGTTTGCACAAATCACGTGTATGGCATTACATGTGAGAGGGAGAAATGAAAACACTTGGAACAAACTCAATTAATATTGATGTGTTTTGCTTCTTTTCCCCCCCAGCTTTGCAGTCGTCAGTTGTACAGGTAAGAAGGACAAAAACCATAATTTTTAATATTGGAAAATATCAGTTAAAAGGAATTAAACCAGTAGGATCTGGGAAGGGAGGGTTTGTTTGTACAATTAAAGACACCCACCCCAGTCCCTCCCAGTCCCTCAGATCCCGGTGCTTTGTCTGCAGAGGGCTCAGAAGGGGCTGCAGTACTGCCCTTTAACTGATGAGACCRAAAACTATTTATTTATTTGTTTATTTAAAGGAGCTTCTATCTGAGTTCTAGAGTTCTTTTCTTAATCCTGTGTGACGAGCAGGACAGGAGCATTGCAAAAGATTCAGGGCAATTTTTCAACTCTTGCGACAAAGAAAATGTAAATGAGTTTTCACTAAGTTGTTTTTCATTTCCTATTTGTTGAGGCTTCCAGGAAATTAAGGGATATTACTTAATTAACTGTTAAGTAAATGTGAATTAAAACTGGTGTGTGACTTCAGAGTTCACTCCTAAATTTAAGGAAATCAAAGCATAATGACTTGTATTCCCTAGTAACTGTGTATACAAGTGAGGGTTTTTCCTCCTTTAATTGACAACATTTTTTGGTCATTTTAATTCACTTCTTCACATGTAACTTACCTGAAAACAGTAACCTCTAAATAGTTTTTTGTGTAATTATTGATTATATGTTAAAAAAAAATTACTGTAAGTTTTTTAATCTTGAAACTTTCTGAAAAAAATGATAAAATTTACTTCTTGAGGGTCATCCACAGTGATGTGAAATTTCCGGTCCCGGGTGAGCTTGTGCTGGCGGATGGGCTTAGCGCTGATACTGTATATTTGTGTCTTTGTGGGTGGCTCTCTTGGCTTCCATAAATTCTTTAATGTCAGGGTGGAGCTTGGGTGTAATTTGTTTTTGTCATAATGTGCACTTCTTGCACTTAATGGTATTTATAAGATGCCTAGAGAAATGTTTTCATTCTAGATAAGAGTTCTATTTCAACTCCCAGCAAGATTCACTGCTGTTTGCTCTCATACTTCACTGAGACAGAGATGTCTACTCTAATCCATGTTTTAAWATACCAGTATGCATAAAATATTTTACAATAGGACAAGAAAAATAAACTAGGTTATAAAAACAAACCAACAATTTGAGTGTTGCTGGGCAAGCATTTAGTGAAACAAGCCAAACTCGTTTCATGATGAGTAATTATTGCACATAATATTCCAAAGATTTCCATTTGAGAAATTGCTACTGGGAATTTTCAGAGTTACCAACATCTTGTRGAAATGTTGAAAACCTGTGTGTTTTATTTGTGTTTCAGGTTTTTAAACTGTATTAACAAAGAGCATCTGGCCACATGTCTCAACTTTTGTTAGATATTTTGCTTTCACTACAGGCCATAAACAGACTTATTGGGGACTGAATGGATTTTAAATGCTTTGATCAAGCTGTTTTAAGGAATGTTTTGGCCCATGAAAAAGGGAAAATGAAGTAAAGTGTAAAAACGCTGGGGTTTTAAAAATATTTTTTTTAAAAAGTTGTAATTTATAAATTTTAAGCTGGAAAATGGGTCATGAGTTTCTTCATTGTCTAATGCTTAGGATTCTGTTGAATCTATAAGGAACTCATGTCAGACAAGATGAAACCAAAGTGCTGTGATGGAGACATTCATAGAGCTGCCCAKAGGGCTGCTCAGCCATCTTTGTTTACAGTTCTTGTGCCATCTTTAACCTGATTTTGAAAAGTGACCATGAATTACCCTTTACACAGAACACAGTCCTGTTTTGAGTTATCCTGCAGTCAGTCTCACTTTTGAATATGCTTGAAGCACTCAAATTTATTTATGTTAATTGTAGAAAATCCTATCATCTACCATATTAATATTTTTTTTAAAAAAATACAAGTATCTTTCTGTCCTCCTGCAGAAATCCTTTCTGGGTTTACCCTAGTGCACTGCAAAAGGAGCCAACAAGTCCAGGCACATCAGTGTGTATTTCCTGCCATTAGCCTTGCTCCTGACACATCTGATGCACTGGTTTGTCTGGAGGAGCTGGTTGGGTTGAGCATTTGTGTGTGCACTTCCAGCCATGGCTTGCGCAGGAGCCTGGGTTTCTGTGTGGGGGTTCCAGCAAGGCGTATGCAAACCATGCCCTGTAGAGCATCTGCCTCTTSTGCCTGTTTTTGAGCTSTACAGGTTATAAAGTTACCAAAACTTTGTGTATAAAAACTGAAGATGAAAACTTGTGGTATCTTTGCCTTTAGCTCTGTTACCTGGGTTAGGAGGTCACGCCATGGGTTTGTAGTCAGCCTGATTTCCTTTCTGCTTCCTCTGCACCATTATAGCTACTTTGTCTTTTCTTTGTAGCAGATCTAAATCTCTCATGCATCTCAAACCTTGTACTCATTCTCGATACTCTTTCTCCCAAGTAACAWGTGATAGGTGATTTTGTGTTCATCACCACAAGAAACACATCAGAAAAAGGAGAGAARTSAATKGCTCMGGGTACTTCAGRCCCTCCTGAGGTRAAGRTGTGCTCCTCAAGRATGGTCTCACCAGCTCACACCTCAGCCCAGTTCCTCTGTCTGAACACGAGCCTGGCCAGTAACAGCACTGGGAAAAGAARGKGTGAACYGRGCAGAAAGTGGGGAKGGAAAGAAGCACCCKGGAAWKGCAGGGYCTCTTTTGGGAAATGGCAGGGAAAGAGAAAATGGACTTAAGTTACACCAGGGAAGGTTTAAATTGRATATTGGAGAAAATATTTCACTTGAAGGTTTGTCAAGCCCTCCTACAGGCTGCCACCATCCCTGGAGGGATTTAAAAGAYGCGTGGATGTGGCTCCTGAGGATTCAGGTGGGCTTGGCAGTGCTGGGCCAGGGGTTGGACTCAGTGATCTTAAAGGCCTTTTTCAACCTAAACAATTCTACAATTCGATAATATGACAAGTCTTTGTGAGAGCAGTATTTTAATAGTAGTTGTGTTAAGATACTCCAAAAAATACGAGGTTCTTCTGCTGAACAGATGTTCAGAATTGTTTTCAGCTTCCACGTAGCCAGTTGTGAGTCTGTTRCCATAGGTCTGAGTGCCCAGAGGTGGTGACAAGCTCAAGCATGGACATGGCAMCACTGTTCTTCCTGCAGGTGGTTGCAGTGCTCTGTGTTCGTGCAGCTGTTGTGTTTATGGCCCTTGAGGGTTCCATGGGGCTGTGTGTGTCGGGACGCTGCCCCTCAGCAGTGACTCCCACCCACGCTGGGCCATGCGGTGCCCGTGATGTGCTGCAAACCCAGCCCTGCTCTCAGCTCATCCCTGCATCCTCTGGCTGTGTTGCACATCAGCCGTGTTGTTGCCTTGAAAGGCCAGTTTTTAATAATGACACAGACACGGTTAAGGGGATAAAAAGGGTTTTACCTTGGTATTCGGGATCCCAGGTGCACAACTTGATGGCAGAATGCACCCCCGTGTACAGCACGGGTACAAGTTTTATAGGTTTCAGGAATTAGCATATCTGTCTAGGATTCCCCAATAAGAAACTTAACAAATGCAGTAATGTTCCCCTATTCTAATGAATCCCCCCAAGATGAGGCCAGAGCCCAGTTTACACAAGATGTTCTAGAGAGAAGGCTTCACCCAAGGCTGAGCTCGGGTTTAAGATAGCACAGGGCACACTGAGCCCTTCCTCAGGATGTTTGGTCTCTCTGCCCAGCAGAACTCCTAAACTAAGCTGGAATATCAGGCTCCAGGAATCACAATCATGTGGACTAAGGGGTACAGAGGAATGCATAGAGGGTACAGCAAGTGTAAAAGGAAAAGCAAAATCATCAGGCATCAGTGTCAGCCAAGCAGATTTAGGAGCTCAAACAGCAGCCGCTGTCAGCTGAACTGGCACCTCCCGAGTTTCGGCTGCTSCAGCGCAGCAGGGGAGCCCGCAGGTGCTGACAGGTGCTGGGCAAAAGAGAAACTTGTCTCATTTCAAAGACCTTTAAGGTTGTAACTAATCTTGATGGTTTCAGGGCAAATGTGTTTTCTTGGCATTCATCAACCTAAAGGAGTTTTTTAGGCATACGAGCTTAATCAGCAAATAATTCCAGCCTCGTGATTAAGCTCATCTTAACAGTTCTCCCAAGTTCAAATGGTTTTRTGCATCCAGTGTGTGGATGGCTCTGAGAGATCGTGCTGCACTGTCCTCCAAAGAGTGACAAGGTGAAATTCTTCTGTACAAAATGAAGTCACTGGGAAAACTTCTTCCGCAGAGCCAGGATTTCACCTCTAGCATCCTGGTGTTAGACTACAACGTAGCCTGAAACGAGGTGTTTCTCATGTTAATATAGTTTATTCTGTGTATCTTGAAGGGCTGGCCGTAAAAGCTTTCTTAATCTGTTCAGCTATGCTCAGGGGTTTCTCTTTTTCCCCCTCTCTGTACCCTCTCATAAAGCCATCCTGTACCTCCAAAACCTGGGAAATATGTAACCTGCACCTTTTAAAATTGCTCACTGCTGTTTGGAACAAAGAGTTCCCAAGGAAAATGCTTGGTTGTTATTCATATGGAGGTGAGATATGTGCTCTCAGCTTCCTAGAAATCCAGTATTTTCAACTGAACCTCTTCAGCTATTCCAATACTTTGAGCTTCAGATTTGGATGTCTATGAAAACTTAGATGTTTTTCAATTCTAAACAGCTTCRGTTACTGTTATTTTTATTATCTTAAAGAGGAATTCTGGCTTCCTCACWAAGAGTTGGCTTAAAATAATTAAAAAAAATAAATCTACAGAAGTACTTTGAACTTCTTTATGCCCTGAGAACAGCACTGTCACYGGTTCTGATTCAAGCCAATGTAATTATGAAATAGATACTGTCAGTCTTAGGTCAGTAATGTTAATTCATCAGTTCTGCAAGGGATTATGTATTTTATTTTCCACACATAAGTTGTGACTCATCCCAGGAGGTTTCTAGAAGAGAAGCATTGGTGTGGAACTGCACATAGGAAGGAATGCTTAGGAGCTTGTGGAGCCTGGGCAGTGCATCAGTCAATTTGCAAATTGAATTAATAATTAAAGCTTGAAACAGGTACTCTAATAATGTGATGCAACTTGTGGATGTGTCTTTGGAATAAAAGGGAAAGAATACTGACTGTACAGCAAAATTCARAATCTGTGAATTAGGTAGATCCGTATCTTTTTAATTTGGTGAAATACTGTGGAGCAAGATAAAGTTAATAGAAAGATGCACAGCATGTTTGACAAACTAAGCACTGACTGAGGAAAGATCTTGGATTATGATAGAATTCTTGGTTCTTAAAAGTGAAATGTGCATGAGCTGTAGAAAGGGGRAAAAAAATTAGCTGTATTGGTGGACATACTGTGTGTCTGGGCAAGAACCAACTTGGGGAGCTTTGCAGAGGAGCACTCACAGGTTGTGGTGCCGCCCAAGACGTGTTTGATTGGAGTTTGTGTGCTAYGAGGAAGTGTTGCTATGCAAATCCCTGTCACCTTTCTGCATTCTTCATGGGGACAACAATGCTCAGAAAGGCTCTAAACTCTGGAATTAAATGGAGTCGGTGAAATGCTAGAGGAAGGGATAGCACTTAAATTATAAACATCAGCACAGCTTGAAGTGGCCTGACTTCCTTCTTGGCAGTGTGAGGAAGTGGAGAGGAGCAGCCTTTGTGACTCAGTTCTTGCTTTGTAGTTGGAACAGAATAGTCCATGTCTGAATCCCTGCATCAGCAGACTGTTGCACACCAAACACATTTGCTAGATGATTATTCTATACTCATTTGCAGTAAGGCAACAGACAAAAGGTGAGGAATGAGTGAAGGCAAAATAAAAGGGAAAAGAAATGTGGAAGAGGAAGCAAGGCTTCCCACATCAGTCGCCTGTTTTTGCCGCTGTCTCGACTCCTTGCRTCACTTTTTTGTTTTCTGATTTAAATTTTTTAGAAGCTGGAGAGCAGACAGCATGGCAGGAAGGTGGAGTAGACAATACACTGACCTTATCAGCATGAGGATGTGGAATTTGTGTTCGCTTCCTACAGTGATAAACTGACCCAGGGGTTATTAAATCAAGMCTAATGTGTATTGATTGTCAAAAGCAAAAATTTCTCAATTAAAGGAAGTGCTGATCTATGGCAAATGAAAATATTGTGGAGCTGGCATCTCTGCATTTGGAGAAACACCAATGAAACTGTTGAGCAGTCAGAAACCGAGAGCATATTACAGGAGTGATCTCCTTGTGTGGAATGGAAAGACTTGTTTAAAATGTTCAGGCTTTTGAAGCTCATACAAAGGGATAAATTGGAGAACAAAGTTCTAAGAGTTGTTAGGATTGCTAAGCTGGCCTTCTGAGCACAGCTACTAATTTTATTGTGGAGAAGGAGGAGGAGAGGAGGGAAGAAAATGTTTAAAATAAACAAAAAACAACAAGCAAATAAACAAAAAAGCCTTTGTTGTTTCTCCCCTTGCTGGGAGTTTCTGCCAGAGCATGGGTATGCAAATGGGTGATTAAGGGTTTGGCACACCTCRGGGAGGAAATATTCCAGCAGAAGTGAAGGGAGGCAATAAGGAGACAAGGGAGGAAATATCCAAAGGAAGGGGAGGTAAAAGGTTCACAAAATGGAACAATTAAGCCACAGAGGTTGACACTGAGCAGAGCACCTCAGGCACTGCCTTGRGAATGGATATCCCTACAAGCAGCAGACAGTGCTCAGTGGAGTGAAGTCTCTGCTCAGAKCCAGGAGAAGCCAAAGAATGGAAACAGGCCCTGCCATTCCAGGGTGCTTCTTTCCCTCCCCACTTTCTGCCCAGTTCACACTTTCTTTTCCCAGTGCTGTTACTGGCCAGGCTCGTGTTCAGACAGAGGAACTGGACTGAGGTGTGAGCTGGTGAGCCCATCCTTGAGGAGCACACCTTTACCTCAGGAGTGTCTGGAGTACCCGGAGCCATTCATTGCTCTCCCTTTTCTGATGTGTTTCTTGTGGTGATGAACACAAAATCACCTAAGAAGGAGCTTGAACAGGAGAGGAGAAGGGTGATAAACYTCACCAGGAGAGGAAACCAGTTAACATATGTGAAAATGGGAACTGGGAAGGAAAGTTTCCACTCAGTCTTGCRGAGATGGTGATTTTTAAAAAAAATTGCACGTAGTTCTTTTTCACTTGTAGAAAACAGAAGCTGGTAGAGAGTATGACTGAAAAGTCCTCTGGCCAGTCTCATGGGTTTGGAATGTTTCTGAAGCAAGTGAGAAGAAAAGCAGAATGAACGTGACAGTCTTTTTATTATTCACATTAATAATCAGGAAAACTGGGAGTGCATTTTTGCAAGAAGAAAGCAAAATATTCAGGAGAGGTTTGTATTAATCATGCTGATGTCAAGAAAAGTTGATTTAAAAAGAAGTAGGGTTGGTCAAATACCCAACTGCAGGTATTTTGGTCTCTGCTTTCATTCTGAAATGGTTTTGAGAGGCTTTTTGCCTCACTGTAGGCTGCACACTCAGGTTGTCTGTGGTGGATTGTTCTCTGAAGGCTGTTTCTGCTTTGCAGGGGTTTAGGTGGAGAACTGATGAGACCGGCTGGTAAGTACCCAGCAGGAGAGCTGCCCCAAGGGATTTCCAGTTCATTTTGAATATGTTGTGTTAAATGTATAAGTGAAGTATGCACAGTAATTAAAAAAACACAAACTTTGAGACCAATCGTAAGTTGGGTGCACCAGGACATGGGACACCAATACAGTTGGAATAACTGCAAGAGCTGGAGATGGTTCTGGGGTCTGTGTCACATCATGTCCTTCTGTTGCACACAGTGAAGTTTTTTCTGGGTTGAACTGTCTTCCTTCAGTGATATACTCAGATTCCTCTCCAGAAGAGAGATGATCTGCACATTTAGACAGATGCCATAGGGGAAATAGTGATTTTCTTGTAACATGTGTGTGCACAAAAGTGAAACMTGAAGACCAGATAAACAACAGGCTGTGGAAAGTGTGGCATCACAGAAAAGGTGGATTTTGAAGATGGTTATATACAGAACCACTGTAAAAAGGAAGGGTATTGCAGGAAAATATAGTCTGAGTGGATGAAGAATTATTGCCAACTTGGTTTCCTATTGTGGGTCAAATGAAGGAATCATTTCAATTTGCAGAGCAGATTGAAAATGTGAAGCCATCCTGACCTCGTGAGAGTACTGAGAGCAAGGGAATTCAAATGAGATTACAGCTGTAAGACATGAAAATGCAGGCTGAAAGAAGTTTTTTTTGTAATACGCTTTAGCTTTTAGGTTGCTGAATATTTCATGGTTTTGGAGAAGTACTGATGGCAGTATTTTGGCATGATACAACTGTGTAGGTGGAATAAGAGAAGAATGGAAAATGTTCCACAAATTGCCTGCATGTCTAATGAAGATGATGGTCTCAACCACAAGAGAGCACAAAGAATCTCAGAGAACTRAGGAGGAACCCCCAGAGACTGGGGTTTCGTCACATTGTACTTATGTACTTATCCTTGTCTGTGAATAAATATTGGTTCAGAGAAGCTGAGTATTGAGAGGAGTTTGTGTGACATTGCTGTAGTGAGGAGTGAGTTCAAGAGTAGATTTGGAGCCCAGTGAGTTGATAATAAATGGAAGATGACAAGCTGTGWGCAGAGCTCAAAGGAAGAGTCAAAAATCAAATTGTGGGACAAGAGGAAAACAAAACAGTGCCATTATTTTAAATAGCACTTTTTCTGCCAGACAGGGAGATGGATCTGTACCCATCTGGTTTAGTTCAACGGAACCCTAGGAACTGAAAGATCATGTTATTCCCCAGWGTACAATACAGACAATCTGTTGTACAGAAAATTTGCAGTATTTACTGTGTTCATCTTCATTCCCTGAAAAACTCTCGAAGCATTTAAAAAAATACAATTCTTGAAGTGGGTTTGTAAGCTTAAAATTATTTAAGTTTTTAGGTTAAAAAAAATAAGGACTTATTATTAAAATGATGTTCTCATGAATTTCAAGTATCAAAGGGAATAAAGCCTCATCCAGTTTCATAGCTCCCGGCTCTGTGCAGTGAACAAATGCCACTCCTTGGAGGTTCAAAAACAATGTGAATAAGAAGTAGGGAAACCTGTCATCTATATTTGAATAATTTTTTTGAATAGTTTTGTGGCTGTAGCATTATCCTTGTCTCCGTTGGTTTACTATCACTGATGCTACACTGCCATTTYCAGACTGTATAGAGAAACAAAAGTGGCTGACATGTATGTGCACACCTGGAATGGCAGAGGGGGAAAACATCCCACCAAACACAGGATTTGCATGAATGATGGGACTAACTCATGTCAGGGGACAGTTACTGCATCATAGTGATTTTTGTACAAGTGTAATTTCTGTTTTTAATTTCCTGTATTTTGAACATCTATTTGCAAACATTTTTCAGTTTAAAATTAAAGCTGATATAACTATGTTGTTGTATCTTCAAAATTGCTACAATTTTTCTTTCTTTGGGAGGGTATTTATCTTGTTATCAATCTTATTTTCTTACAGTCTGCACTTTAATTGAAAAGTTGTCGCTATCAAAAATGCCATTTAAAGGAGATCCAATAATCGGTATGTCCTATTTTAAATAASATTCCACGATTGTGGTAACTACTCATTAAACTGAAGTATTAACAAATCATGTTTTTCCAAGAAGCAAGATTAATGGGGTTGGGTGACCTAACACATAAAAAATACCAAGAAGATATACAAATACTGCAGCAGATGCTGATGATATTTGAAGATTTGGGTTTTAGCTGTTAAGTAGACAACAAATAGAAAGTGCAGTTTTCAGCATCACAGGCATGGAGTGTTCACTTTGGAATCTTGGAGTCTGAGAATCACAACCTTGTTTGATTTGGAAAACCAAGGACATAGGTTGGCCTGTATAATTGCTGGTCTATTAAAAAAAAATGGAGAATGCTGAAGTTCAGAAAGTAAGAAAAGTTAAAGTTGTTTATGTTCCTTGCTATTCCAGGTGGTTGGCAGTGGCTAATAAATGACAGTCTAAGACATCTCACTCTTGTTTCCAGTGGTGCACGACAGCATATAAAGGTACAATAATTTCTCCTCCTTCATGTGGTCACATTAAATACAGAATTAAAAATACTTTTGCTTTTCTTTGGTGAATTATTTTCCATGGAATCTTAGTGGTTCTTGAATCTTACCTTGGATGGGTAAGAAGGGGTATTTACAGAAGTGTATTTTGGATTCCTCAGGATTCCAGTGGATATTTTTGATTAGTATTTGAGCAGTTATCCCAAAGGTTGTTCGTGTCTGTACATCTGGACAGGATGAGGAGTCGCTGGTGGTGCTGGAAGCTACTCCCTGGTGGCTCTGTGGTTCCATTTAGAGGGTGTTTTGCTTCTGTTTTGGTGTACCTGTAGTGTGTGTGGTTTCAGAGAACTTTTGTGAGAATTTAAAATTCTCTGGATGATGTCCACAGGTACGAAGGGTTTTTGGTAAATCTTCCAAGCGTTGGTGTGAGTTACCAGAGATATTCAGGACAATGAGCTTCAATTTTCCATTAAACTCTGTTGCAAATCCTTTTACTGTGCTCTCAAACTGCTYTGATTCTGAGTATTAAATCCATTGATGGATATGTCTTGTGCTGTTTTATTTACATCATCTTAACACCTCCAGTTATTTGCCTTAGTTTTCCCAAGAAATCCCATGGCAGTTGGATCTYGTACTCTTAAAGGCTTTGCTGAATTATAAAGGCAATTTCTGTCTGCCCTGTTTGAGCTTACAGACAATCTGAATTTAACATTCTGTGTTCCTTGTGTTACATTTTAATAATAAGATAAAAAGGCATTRCAAGTATCTCGAAGCTTTTAAAGTTGTCCTTGGGAGACAGAGGAGACTGGAGTGTACCCAAWTCACTGAAGAAAATGAAAAGATGAAATTTGAATTCTTAGGATATTCTTTTGGCATTAACAATTTATTCAGGGTCAGTATGTCTTATAACTGGAGCTTCTAAACCAAAAGCTCAGAAGAATTAATTACAGTCTGTAGAGAATTCTGACTTACTTGGTAAACATCAGTTAATGCTGAGTAAAGTATGTGTAGTAAATGTCAATTGTCCCTTATTTCTGTATTTTTTTAAAGAGAAATAATTTTAAGGGCAATGAAAGAGAAATAATTTTAAGGGCAATGAAAGAGAAATAATTTTAAGGGCAGTTTTAAGGTGTTGAAAAGAAGTCTTTTTTTTTCCCGATATACAGCATTCTCTTCCAGTGTAAATTCATACATTTAAGGTGAAAAACATTTAATTTAGAAAGTTAGTTTAATTTAGAAGGATGTGAGCAACCTGGTCTGGTCCCAGGCATCCCTGCCTGTGGYAGAGGTTGGATAAGATGGCCTTTAAAGGTCCCTGATCTACAGCAAGTAGACCATTCTGCATATTTTGCTACTATCATGCCTGTGGTAGTTAGAATATTGTTTAGGTGAGTGCTGGTTTTCCTTCAAGCCCTTGATTTTGCATAGAGTGTGAGGTGTCTTTGAGGGCAGAATGAATCAGCTGGGCAGGATTTCTGTGTTACATTTAAAATTTCTTGTACCTGGAGACCATGAGTATTAATAAGTATTGTTGCTATTAAMATGAAGTGAATAATATGTAGCTTTTGTAGGCTCTTAAATGTATTRTAATTTTGGGTAACATTATATTATTAGCTGGAAAGTATAATTCAGCTGTAACTTTATTGAGAAAACCTGTTACATTCTTTTTGAAATAGCAGCTGAGTTATTTTGTGTTCTGTATCAGTGACTGAAACCACTCTAAAAATTAGGAGACTCAGGTATAGAATACCTTTGGTTCCCTTTTCAAACCCGTTAAGATCAGGACAGAAGGCCTGTGATACATAATGTTTGGGCTTTTTTGTTTATAATCTTCAGTCCATGTTTTTTCTGTGTCTCCTTTCTGTAGCTCCCTGGGGAAATAGGGTTTGTTTCTTGTCAATCTGGCTTCAATGTATGGAAGATGAAACAAAGACTTGTGTGTTTGGTAATGCTGTGTCATCCTGGAGGTCTTTTATCTGAATTTAAAATGCTACATGACTGTCACTGTTTTAGATGCTAACTTAGCTTACTGGTCTTATTGAACAAATTAAAACTAAAGTCTGGTTTTTTTGGTTTTTTTTTATGTAAGTTTCCTTACTAAACCAGGATCGGGAAGAAATAATAAGAAAGTAAATGCCAGTTTCTGAAAAGAGGTTTTTTTGCTTTTTTTTCAATCCACTTTCTTTCTCCTTAAAAATTCCAAGAGCAGTTACCATAAAGTATGAGCTGAATCCATGTGTCTCTGTCCCTCATGCAGGAGTCTGCAGTGTCTGCTCTGGCTGCGCTGTGCAATGAATTTTACATCAACGAGAGGGGAGAAGCTGATCCAGCTCTGCAGGGTAAGAATGATTCACGTTTAAAATAGAGGCACAAAATACTGGGCTGGACCTAACTTGCACTTTATAGGTATTACATAGAATGGGGAGGGACATCACTAGTTTTAAAGGAACTTTAAATTCTTTAGGACAAAATAACTGACAAGGTTGTCTGGAAAATGACAACTGAAAGTCTAGGAAATGTCTTAGGGATAAGCTTTAGATTTGGAGGTGAATACAGGTATTACCATAATGAATACTGGCCAGATTTATGTTGCTTTTCTATTCCAAAGATTATGGTTTTGTGGCACATCCTAAATTTTAACAAAGTGAGTCTTTTTCACATCTTATTTTGGTAAGCTCTGCCTGAGATCATGGCTGATTTACAGAAGAATCRTGAAGGAATGAGAAATGGATAGAAAAGGACACCCAGAGTTCTTGTAAATGTGTATGTGAAAGCTCATGTGTTTGTATTTGGATCAGCAGCACAGGAGGAGGCCTAAACTTCTCCTAGGGGCGTATGAATCAGCAGATTTTTTTATACTGCTTTTCTTACACCTGTCTTTGTTTCAAGTATCAGATTGTATCATGTCCATCAGAGACAGACTGCTGGATTGTACAGATAAATATTTCAAGAGTAACAACATTTATGTTCTTGTTCTTCTAAATATGACAATGAATTTACATAAACTTAATAAAACAGTTATTTCTTTTCCYATTTTTTGCCATTATTAAATCAGATATCAGAATACCTTATCATTTATTTCTATTACAGTTGTTCCCAGAATCAACTTGATATCAATCACATATTACATGCAGTCCATGCCCGAAAGAAGTTAGGGCTGAACTGTAAAAGCAACCTATCTTCATTTTAAAGTCTTTTATATAAATCTCTGTGTTTTGGTAAAAAAAAATAATAAAGTCAAAAACCCCAAATCCCCAGGTCACCCTTTCCTTCCTGGAGTTTGGCCCTGCCTGCTGGATTTGTTGTGGGCARCATGGGAAGGTGTGATATAGTACTGAGGCAGATAAAAACCCCGCAACCTCAGGAAAGGGTCCTGTCTAAAACCAGAACAGGCTGGGCAGGGGGAGGCAATGCTGAGTCCAAGCAAACAAGCTAAAAATGAGTTAAGAAATTGATAGGTCAGATTTTATGTAAGGATGAAGTTTCAGGTTGCTGTAAAAGTGGACTGGAAAACTCAGCCAGGTGCCCAAGTCAGGAAGGAGAAGGAATATTCTGGAAGTACAGGCAGTAGATGGCTGCAGCTGTTGTTGCTGTACTCTTTTAGATCCCTCTGAAGCCTAATTGTATTTTAGGTTAACTTCTCATCTGTTTTGTGCTTGAAGGAACCATGGCAATGTGGCTGTGATGGTCTAGGGACACAATTAAGTCAAATTTGTAGACAGAGAAAATTTTTCATCAGACTTTCTGAAAYGGATTTGTGAGTTGAGAGTTCTGTTCCAGAAAACCCTGTGGTCAGCTCTGTCTTGAGTACACTTTTATTTGGCCTTGAGTGCTCTGGACCCTCCTCCACACATGATTACAGAAGTGCCATTACATATGCAAGCATCTTTTAAAATAAAAAAAAGGATCATTTTATCTCTGTACCTATAAAACTTACATATTTCATGCCTGTCTGTTGTGGGATTGAAATCCACTGGTACCCATCCTCCCCACTGTCTGATGGATGCAGGTATGTGTGGAAGCTGCAGTTCAGAAAACATTCAGCAACAGTGCAGGTGCCTTAGATAAGTGAATTAAAGCAGGTCTAGACATGATCAAGGAGATTAGGGAAAAAAAACCAAACCCCTTTTGGTAAAATCTAACCAGTGTATCACTGTAGCTTGATGATTAAAATGGTAACATAAATCAAAGGTACTTTAGCAATTTGACATTCTGAATCTGCCCTTATAGGGCTGCAGTTTTATTGAACCACTACTTTTGTTTGTTTTGACCTTCTCTTAGTTTTATTTTTTTCTGTCTTAATGTGTTTTGRTTTTGTTTTGCTGACTCTCTCTTTTAATATTCTTTCAGGATGGGTTGTGTGGAATTATTATTGTAGACACTTCATAGTCCCTGTTGGTTTATGAAGCTGAAGGCTCTTAGAAGAATATTAACATTTGCATTACACTTTCCACCATAATTACTAAGTGGTTATAAGTAAAGAGCTGCCTGTTTGCTAGTTGCCATGTCATTTGGCTAAAATGTCAATCTTAAATTTGCATCARTCAAAGTGGAGACTGTCACAGCCTCACTGTTTAAGATCTTCTTGCTGTCACAGCAAACACTGCATCTTCCTATGGCCTCAGGACTATCTTACACGCCAGTGGTTTGGAAAGTTGTAAATTATAGATGTACTTATCTGAAGGTATAGCTCACCTCTGGACAGGGAGTTGGGTCCCTGATGTGAGAGACGAGCTGGGGCCTGTTCATTGCACTGGGGTTTAAAAGAAACAGTCASGAATTATGATGAATGGGGAGTTTCTTATGGCAACTCTTCTTTCTTCCTCTAGCAAATATTGCTCAATCATTTAAACCTTAGATTACAGTAAGCAATGGCACAATTATGTAATCTTGCCAGGATCTCTGGTTCTTTTTCTTTGAGGATTAAAAAATATCTCTCCAGTAAAGCGATCAATAAGACCACCCTGCTCATTTCTGAATCAGAGCTGTCTTTATTGCAGCTGTCTTGGAGAAGCTTTTCTGGAGCATCTTGTTTTTCTCTGCATCTAACAGAAGAGTTTAATGTGAAAAATCGGGTAAAGGAAGTATTGTTTGTAAGTCTGAGATAAAGACTGCAGCAGAAATTGTACCTATTTCTGACCTTTTATTTTTTTTTTTTTTTTTTTTTTT